TATCGATGTAGGAGTTTGAGTGCGTCTTAAAAGGTTGAATGGGTCAAATCCTAGTGAGTTTATATGGTAATAAATTTAATTAACAAAGGACTTGTTCAATGGTCTCAATAGCATTTTGAGAGAATCATTCGATTTCAACGTTATCCAGTACGATTTGGCGATAGATTAGAAAATGACATTTTATCCAATACGACGTAATTTGCAAATCGCAAAGAAAAGTCGGGATCTAAACCAAACCGGTTACCAATTTTCTTTGGCTACCCAGAGATCCAAACCGTTTCGATAGTGAACCAAAGAGGGAAAGAGGGCAAAACCGGGTTTTAAATAGACATGTAGCCTATCAATTCGAGTTAGTGGTGTTATATAGTGTCACCCATATACATATATAGTTGAAAAACAAAAAGAACAAAGTCCGAAACAATCATACTTTAGGCCATGCCATAATTTATAAAATATTAATTTGTTTTGTTATATAGTGATCGTGTATTGTTTAGGAAAAACGAGCAATCGTGTAAACCGAGTTAGAATTTTGGTATTTCACCATTGAAATGGTTGTTATCATTAGGAGTTTCCGGAGACAAAAGTATAATTTTGCGATATACATAGATCACTAATGACAAAGAAAAGACATGTGGGTCCAATGTTAGGTATCACAATTAACATTGTTGAAGAAAAACATAAATATATATAATTAAATGCAATATGAATGTACATACAGATGTTTGTTGATATGGGGTAACGGCCAAATCTGTAATCAGCGAATTAATAGATTTGTGTAGGGCGATTAGCCCACAAACTCGAGCGTAATGTCAAAAAGAAGAAACCTAATTATAAAGGCATTTACAGACCAAATTACTTCCAAGTATTGAATAAATTATTTTCGTCAGAGCAAGCAATTCATTTCACCACAAATAAAACAAAAGCATATACATATTCAATTTTCTTACAATTAATGTTTTCGCAGTTACAAATTGTCTTTAAACAAAAAAAAAAGAATCTTTAAACCAACAAAAGGAAAAAAAAACAATTAAATCATAAATCGAATATGATCTTTTGATTAAAACACCTCAAAATTAATAAACACAAATAATTTTTTTTTAAAATGGTCAAAACCGAACCTTGATTTATTATTTGTCACTACCTTGCAGTTGGGCCAAACGCGTTGTATTCTCCAAAAGTAAGCGAAACCGATCCAGACGAGCTATTATATTCATTGCTGTTATAATTCTGAACCGGAGGCTTCGTGTATTTCTCTTTCACTACTTCCTTCTTCTCATGATTGCTCTGTGTCTTCTTCTCACGAGCTAGCTCAGCGGCTAAGCACTGTTTCAGATCAGACACGATCTGGTTCGTTGATGGTCTGTTGGTTCCTCTGTCTTTGACGCATGACATTGCGACTTCTACATATTTCCAAGCAGAGTTCGAGGAGAACTCGCCGTTTAGCCGTGAGTCCACGACACCGTCTATGTCTCCAATTTCGAGGAAAGGCTCGACGAAGTGGACGACGTTCATTTTGTCTCCATCGTCGGTTTTCATGATTGATCTCCTGCCGGTTATGATTTCGAGGAGAACAATCCCGAAACTGTATACGTCGCTCTTCTCGTTTAGCTTAAACGTGTTGTAGTACCTGTCACGTAGCGCCAAAGAGTGTGATTTATCCCACAGTGGAATTTTAATTTGTTCAAAACCGGGTCATGGTGTGAGGGAAAAAAAATACTCGGGATCGACGTAGCCGGGAGTGCCCATGACGGCAGTCATGACATGGCTGAGATCGTCTTCAGGGAAGACCTTGGAAAGACCGAAATCAGCAATCTTAGCTTCCAAGTTATCGTTCAATAGAATGTTTGCTGTTTTGACGTCTCTGTGTATTATTGGTGGCCTGCATCCATGGTGCAAATACTCCAATCCTGCAAAAGACGGAAAATAATAATATCAGGTTTCAGAACTGAACTGGAATTGGTATCTTGGGTTATATAGCTTTAGAAAATCCAAGAAAGAAGTCGAAACTGGACCAACCTTGTGCAGAGTCTATGGCTATGTGGAGTCTCTTTTCCCAGCTAAGGTCCTCTGCATTATCACTTGAAAGGTAATCCTGCAAGTTGCCATTGGCCATGTACTCGTAGATGAGAGCCATACTGCGACCATCATCGCAGTATCCAACAAACGAAGCTAAGTTCCGGTGATGGACTGTCAAAAGAAGCTCCGCCTGCAAAACATTTCACATTTCAACAACCACTAAAATAAAACAATGTCTAACTCTAAAGTACCTGTTACTTGGTTTCTAATGTTTTTGGGGTTCTTTAGATTACCTCAACTTGGAATTCTTTGGAAACTTTGGATGATGATGATGATCCTTTAGGTTTATCAAATGAAGAATCGTTGATCATCTTTACAGCAATTTCAGTCCCGTCTTCGAGGGAACCGAGGTACACAATACCATACCCTCCTTTACCGATCACTTTATTGAAGTTGTTTGTAATACTAGAGACTTCACTATACGTGAACCTTCTCTTCCCTGATGGCAGAAGTGGTCCTGAATAGGCTCCTGAATACTCTAGGAAATTAAACACTCGTTTTCTTTCAGCAAAAAAAATATTGACCGTGAAAATTGAAGTAAAAGACCAACCGTCTTACTTATTTTTCTTTCCCTTCGAATGATGCAAATGATAACCAAGGCAGCAATGAGAAGGATCACTAATGAGGATACAACTAATGGCACAACGATTTTGTTCCCGTCCCGACATGAACGCGAATGACATATGTTTTGTTCATCCACACTGGCACCAGAGAGGAAATCAACAAGCTTCATAAAATGGAAGAGATGTGGATTATTTTTGAAAAATGACTACGGCTCTGGAGTTTTGACAAGAAACTGTACCTCAGTGCAAGTGCACCACCCATTGCTCTTTTTCTAAGAGCTTTTGGGATAAACCCTGTCAAATTATTTCCTTTCAAACTCCTGCAACACAAATAAAATGTGACACACAAGATCATTATTGATTGTCTGTCAGTAGAATTAAACGAAGTCTCTATGTGTTCAACTCACAGGAACTTCAGTTGTTTTAGATCAGCCAAAAACTCTGGCACATTTCCTTTTAGGTTGTTGTTTGATAAATCCCTGGTAAAAAAACAATGCAGACCTCTCTTATTGTTTAATGTGAATAAAATGGTGGAAAGTGTGTATGTATGGTTTAAGGTATACTTACAATGACTCAAGAAGGGAGAGGTTTCTAAATGCAAAGGCTATTGGTCCGTGTAACCCGCTTGAGCTAAGATTACTTCTCGCAGCAAAAAATAGAAACAAGCTCATCAGCAAAACCCTTTTTGAGGGAAATTTAAAAATGAAGTTTTGTTTAGTCAAAATGAATGACTTACATGGACTTGATATAGTGATTAGAATTGTTGTAATTGCATACAATACCTTCCCAAGGGAATAGTCTTGGGGAGCAAGGATCACCAGTCCAAATCTTTTGCACTTTATACGTTGATTTTATGCTTTCTATGGCGCGAACTGCATTCAAAAGAGAAAATCGAAAAGTGTGACTCTCAGTAGAATTCAAGGTTCAGATATCTTACAGAACATAGGTAGCCGGCTAGCAAAGAGATGAAGAACACACCATCTTCAATTGTGGTGGAAACTTCATCTAGAGATTGTGCCGTAAAAATCTCGATAGCATTAAGTATTGGTGGAAGTGTTGAATCTGAGGTCTTCTGGACGGAAATCCAGTGATCTTTACCGGTGAAAGCTCGCGAATTAGACACTGTCACTGACAACTCGGGAGAAGGGATGAACGTTCCTGAAACAGGCGACCCGTTCCAGAATATCTTCATTTTTCTGCTCTCATTCCTCTTGACATGTTCGAGTTCTGCAAAATAAAGGTAGGCATAGAACCGAGCATTTGGAGCGTCTGATGTCCAGGACAATTCCAATGGTTCATCATCGCTTTTCGGTGAAGCAGCTGACTTAATAACTTCATCTGGTGGCCTATAACCGCTTTGAAAAATATCAATATACCCAGTTGTCGTGGTTGAATTCCAAGAGACTGGAGTGTACGGAGACCAAATACGATCATATACATCTTTTTTGTATCGTCCTGTTCCATTCAAATATCCAGTGTCCCATCTTTGATAGAGTACCAATGAGACATTTCTTCCAAATTCAGTACCGTAGATTGAGCTGTTCATTGGCCGGAGCTCCAAGGCTGAAATGAAAGGAGTTCCTTTACCTTTGTTCACAAGGCAAACATGTATTGTCTCTGACTCTGCAAAGCTGAGGGTCTCCTTGATGACGTTCTCAGAAGCATTTCTGAATTTCACCGAGGACCAGAAATTCACGTTTACATAGAGATCAAACTCAGGCAAAGCGTTTTTACCGTCGTAGTTTCCGTACATAAACGTAGCTCTGATGAGATAAAGATTCCCTTTTCCATCGGAAGGGATTAACGAGTAACAGTTCCTGTTTCCTTGAGGGAAAGATCTGACATCAGCAAGCGGGAAGGGCAAAACTGGGTTTTTCGGGTAACCATATTCTTCAGAAACGTTCACATTTACTCCAGTGTCTATGAAAGGTGCATCCCATGTGTAACTGATACCAGTATCAGTGTCTATATAGTTTATATTAGGGGGTGAGCCACAATCGACGCTGATGAAACCTGGATCAGAAGAATGTAAAGGACCTTGATTAATTCTATAAGGTTTGAGAAAGTTTTGGTCAAGATTCCAAAGGTTTAAAATCTACCAAACCTCTCACATTAAGAAACTAGAGTATTCAAGTCTAGAACCCAAGGTTGTGATATTGTTTCTTTGTTGTTATTACATAATAAAGTTTATTAAGAGCATGGGGTTGCATTGTGGTAAGAAACGCATTTTGATTATTGGTTTCACTTTCACATGATAAGTGGGGTCTTTTCTGTTCTCTGAAGATCGCTCATTTCCAAATCAAGACAGACACAATATGAGGAAATTAAGCTAGAATGAGACTCACGAACCTGCTTGGTCTTGGCCATGAACCAGAACGGCAATGGAAATGACGCCAAAGAGGATGAGAAAAACAGGCTGAGCTTCCATGTTGTTCTTCACCTTTTGAAAAGCTCAGTTCATCATCGCCAGAAAAACAGACAACCTGCGATTAAGATATCACAGAAACACAAAACATCCGAAGTACAAAAGTCTACGCCCTATTTCCTTTTTTGCATAATATAAGTGCTGCTCACGTCTGAAAAAAGTGGCCAAAAAAAGCGGCCAAGAAATAATACTTATAAAATTGCAATACAGCTGGTAGAAAATTACCTGTGGTCAACAACTAACCATGATATTTAACTCCAATAAAATTCTTATGACAAAAGACACAGGACATAGACAACACTGGACATACAATGATAGACCACACAACATTGTGGTGAAAGAGTTTGTAATCCGAGTTTCGACTTTAGATGATTAGGTCACATAGAATGACAAGACCGTTGACAGATAAAGAACCCGAAATTAAAAAGGATAGTGATTGAAAGGAGTTTGATTTAAGCTATAGTGTCTTTAACTATTATGCTGGATAGTATTAGAACTAAGCTTCATCTTCTGTTAGCAGCTTTGGAGTCTCGGAACCATGGGATGAGCTCAAAGGGAATGAAGATAGCTCTAGGTAATCAAAGTCCTCGGTGATTCCCGCCTGAAAATACCAATCTGATTAAGCACGTCTTTGATGTAAGAAGAAAATGTGAAATCTGAAATTGGTAGCATTTTAGGTGAAAAGATCTGGAAGATACCTCAGTGTATAGATGTTCCAGCTGTTCCTTGGCCTGGGGGAATTTGTTTGAACACCATTGTCGCAATGTGAAGATGTTATCTGAGTAAGTTTTGAAAGAATTACAATTTAGGCTGTGGTGAAATTATGAACATTTGTAAACTGAAAAGGTGATACCCAAGTTTAAGAAATGAAAAAACCTGTCCATCTGTTAGCTGATTGGTGAGCAACTTCAATTGCACTCCCTGTCAAAATTAGAAGAAATATACACATTGATACAGCTAGTAAATCACATGATTTGTTCTTATTTCTGCTCCACAAGACCAGGAAAACCATAGGAAATTTGACAGGACACAAGCGTAACACATTATGCGGTACTTACTCATTGCCTCTAAGGTCGCTGGATCGTTGTCAGCAAACTGTACCATCTCATTCTGCATTAGAAGAAGAAACTGTTAGCAACTTGCTAAACATGTGGATACCTCTATGCAAACAGATAGCCTATGTAGTCTGACCTTCAGCTCTTTGTATATATTTTCAATCTCTTTAAGTTGCGTCAAGGCCTCTGTTCGTTCCTCCTGCAGCAACAACCACATTTCTGGTGAAAAGAGCATGTATGCTTATTCAAGCCTTTATTTTGCAACACTTTAAAAATACTTACTGATTCTTCCCTCCCTTTCTTTAGCGCATCGCACTGATCCACAAGTTCTGCCAGCCTTTTGTTACTACCCTGAAGATCAGATTCAAGTTTCTGGCGAATACTCCTAAGCTGTTCATTCAAAAAAGTTGAAGCATGAAATCCGAATCTATTAAACTCGTTATACTAGAATTAAGATGTCTAATCAAGATGAGAATGGTGGCTCACTTGGTTGCCAGCACAGCTTGGAAGGCTCCAAAAGTAGATCTTCAATCACATAATTATGAACACTGTCAAACAATATATAACAGCAACAAGGACTATATGGCAACAAATGCAAATAAAGTTGTGAAAGGATCTGACATAGAAACACTAGTTACTCACAGAAATTCCGATCTTGTCTTTGGCAACAAGATCATCATCGACTAAACTCTGGATAACATCTTTCACCGACTGACTAATTACACCCCTCTTAGGCCCCATCTTCTCAAGTTCCTTTAGCTGAAAATGTTTACAAAAGTACTTGACCAATTAGCAAACTTTTATGCAGCATAGGCACTTCACTGTTCTAGATATAAGATCACTTGACCAAGATGATTATTGGTAGGTAAAGCTAGCTCAAAAGCGTCCAAAATCAACAAGTAGTGAAAAAAAAGTGTTCACCAGGAAGAAGTCCTGAGACTCATAAAATATCTGAAGCATCTTCTCCCGCTTCTCCTCCAACGAAAGCCCCCGTTTCTTTGACTGAATATTATCAACAACAGAAAGCAGCGATTCAGTAGAAGCGAGATATTAGTTAAGAAAAATTTTACATAAACTTGAGCGTTTGGGTGAATAAATCCAACAAACAATGGTACAACGATGTTATTCTAGATCGAAAAATATCAAATCCAAACAATCAATTCAAAGACTACAGTGATCTCAAGTGTATAGTACGAAGAATGACTAGTGGATAAATGCATAGCCCAGATTCATATCGATCCGCCATGTGCAAACCAAGTGTTTGCGGAAATTCCTCAGAGATATACAACATTAGCGACGGAAGAAACAGTGATATCGACCCAGACTAAGACAGGTTTAAATCAGTTTTCGCGGAGAGGAAACACATCGGGATTGCAAAACGTTCATAAAAATAGGTCGAATCGAACATCAAAATTTCTCTCGCGAGCCGAAAAAGCACAAACTAAGTGCACAGTAAGTATGGCTCACAGAATCGCGAAGAATCTCTTGATCTTCTCAGAGAAAATCACAAATCACAGAAATCATATACGAAACATAATCGGAAGTAGAATAGAACAATCGCCCAGAGTAAATTACCATCGTGATTCGTTGTTTCTGGTGATGTAATCCAAAGAATATCAAG